CTCTCTCACGGCTGTACAGGCGTGTTCTGCTGATGCCCGATTCGTGAACATATCGTTCTTTTGAACCGGTTCTTTTAAATGAATCATTCGAACCGATTCGCCAGGTGTTCCGTCTCGAATTCGAATGAGCCTACTACTCTTGTAGACAGTTTATAGCAGGGATCCTCAAATCTGGCCCACGAGATCCACTTTCCTGCAGAGTTTAACTCTAACCCTAATCAAACACACCTGAGCATGCTAATCAATGTCTTCAGGATCATTAGAAAATCACAGGTAGCTGAGTTTGATCAGGGTTGGCGCTAAACTCTGCAGCGCATTGGACCTCCAGGGTAAGATTTGAGGAACCCTGGTTTATAGTATATAATTGTATATATTGTACATAGTATGCTAATATTTGTAGTGCGCATCAGTCGGGTTGCAGAAGTAAAATCTCATTCATTTTCTCCATATGTAAATTGATTTTTAACGGTAACTAAGACCTGCTATGAGCTTTGAGGTTGTTAATCCATGACATGTTACATCCTTTTATTAAAGCCGTCAGTTTGCATTATTTCAATTTTTATTTTTAAATAATGGTGCATTTTTAAATAGCAAAATTTCTGGTAAAAAACGACATTACCCATGATTCAGCAAATGAATCTCCACCAATTACAGAGCAAAGCCTGCTGATTTTTAAATACTTTTTTTGCTTCAAATCTAATTTTTTCATATTGTGAGTAATGTTGTAGCTGGTCGGTTTGGGTCATGGCTTATAAAGGTCTTTGCACACCGAGTCCAAAATTCTCGTCCTAAATTTTCTCACATTAAAGGGGTCATATGATGCGATTTCAATTTTTCCTTTATAAAATTCAGATCAGGTTCGATTTTCTGCATTTTCAAAACCGTAGCAAGCATTTTGATACCACCAGGAAAGGATGACGAAAAAAAAAAAACGCATATGAAAATTTTGGACTGTGCAAGGACCTTAACTCTTTAACAAAATCTTTAAAAAAATCCCCATGGGAAAAATACTTTAAAATTGGGCAAACATTAATGCTCTCTATTTGATAGAATGCCTGGATGAACTACTGCATGCTAAGGCCCTGTCCCAAATGGAACACTTCATGTTTACCTGCGGTCTTACAGACTTACAATGGCCGCTGCATGCGCGTGTCCGTTAAGTCCACGAGACCGTAGGGTGTCCCATTCGTCATTTTAGCGTTCAGAAGGGTGCTCGCGAGTGCCCCCTTTGTGGCCATTATGCGCCCTCGATCTGCACTTCTGCTGAGCCCGCACTGGGGCGAGCTCTGCAGCAGACTTCTACCCGACAGTCAAAGCAGTCAAATTACGTCACGAAAGTGCAGACTCCGAGGAAGAACGTGAGGGTTTAGGGTGCCATTTGGGACAGGGCCTAAGATGTGCAGTATACAACCAGAGCACAGTATGTGGAATAATGTATCCCACAATGCAATGCACCTGACCTTTTGTTCCATTTTCTGTGTGATTATGAACATATAAGGTAATATCAATCACACTTTCTGAAAACTGCTTCTTCCCTCAATAATTGTTCTAACATTTTAAGACATTTTTAAACTGCATTAAAATTCAAAATAATTATATTTGTGATGAATGCACCTCTAGTGTCACAACATGGTATTGCAAATCCTGATATGCATACTTATATGCATATTACCTCTACTATATAGCATGCAAAAGCAGTTTGCATTATGAATTGTCACCTAACATGTTATATTTCAGAAAGCAACAACACACAATCAAGCTTTCACAGTTTGTTTTGGGCTTAAATCCAGTTGGGTCTGCTCCTCTGTTTTTTTGGCATTGGCAATACAGATCGGACCATACTGCAACTTTCATTCGGATGTTCAGTTTCATGCTCGAATTCAGCATATGCGTAATCGATAAGAATGGAGATTTTTTTGTACCCTCATCTCAAAATTTAATTGCACCAGCGGGAAAATGGCTGCAAAGTGTGGCCTTTTACTCACGGTCTATAGAGCTCTGCAAACAGATAAATTATTGATCTTTCCATAGTGTTTACACATTATGGGAGAGCCGGCCTACGAATAGCTTATTTTTGTCGTCTATCCACATTAAACTGGGGAGAAAATATCACCTTAAACAGTGCATTGAAACAAAAGACTAGAAGTGAAATTTTGAACCCGTTCACTGAAATGAACCAATTCACTACATGAATCTCTAATTCTTCAACGCAGTGAACATGACCCAGAGCCGTATGGTGCGTGTGTGTGTGTGTCCAGCCCGAGGGTTTATGTGAGCACGCGTCCTAGATTGTCTTTAATCTGCGAGTCTATTTATAGAGCATGATAATCTCATGGACAAACTCACTGTAAACAGCATTTGTTGTGGGTTTTGATGGGGAATAATGTGCACATTATGAAATTGTGTGGTGTGTATGTTGGATCTGGTCTCATTCATTTGCACTCTGTAAATATTACTTAATATCAGCATTACTTAACACCTCCTCTGAACTTACACACACACACACACACACACACACACACACACACAGAGAGATCCTGCAGGTCTATTGAACCATTGCAATAATGAGGCATTCATGCTCTCCACGGGCTCTTCCACTGTCATCCCTCCCTAGTGACTAAACTACCCATTTATTTAGTGACCAGAGATTTAAATATATTGTATTTGTGAAATAATGTGTTTAACAAGATAGGACAAAACTGTATTTACCTTTAACAATTCATTAGTAATGTGTGGCATTGAAATTTTTTGTTTACATAAAGACAATGAAGCCTATTTTGAATTATTTTCAAAATAATTAAATAATAAAATGATTATTGAAAACATGTTCAATTAATTAATAAATTAAATATTTATTAATAAATTAAATATTCACCCTCCAATTCACATTACTGTAATATGAAAAGGCCTGATTCTTGTCATTACTGTAAAATGGATTATGTAATATTTAATATAAAAATTAGGGCTGTCAAATTAGGGCTGGGCGATATAGTTAAAAAATGTATCAACGATATAATGATTCATATAGTTCGGTATCGATAATTACTGACATTTTTTATAACCTTTTTTTAAAACAAAAAGCAATAATTTTTTTTTTTTAAATTTAACCACTGTATTTATAATTAACACAATTTGAGACAAACAACAAATATTTTTTGTTTTAACAATCAAACACAATAAAAATTAAACAAATATCTAATTTCTAATGTTTTATATGCAGATTAAATAGGTCTTTATTGTATAGGTCTAATTGTCTCCCGAGGCCAC